GTGCCACTCGCCAGTGTAAACCTACATGGCTCGGAGGCTCAGATGCAAAAGCGGTATACATCTCATCATTATGCAAATTCAGACAGATAAAGTATTGTTCTGCTTAGCAAGTACCTTGTTTGTACCCTCTGTTATTTGAGAGTTTAGCTTGTTTGTAAATGTATTATTTTCTTTTCTGTTCTGTTTCTAGAATTATAATTGGACTTGGATCGATGGAACAAATTTCAGATATACAAACTGGTGTCATGGAAAACCGAGCAATAATTATGGCCAGTGCCTGGAGATGAATTTTTCAGGTAAATATTTAAAGAAATCCCTTAAACAATAGTGTAAGCCCTATTAATGTTCAGGAAAAAAGCCACAATACCCTCTTTTCCTAAATAATATTATTTATTAATAGTAAACAGTTAATACAAATGCTGCATCTTGTTAAATAACAATAAGTGAATACCAAATGTAATTGTTTTTGTTTAACAAGTGAATAAAAACATTAAATTTTATAGGAATAAAATATACAATAATTTTTGCATTGTGATTTGATAGTAGTAGTAAATACTCACTGCTATTAATCAGTTTCAGTTAATGTGATTTTTGTTGCTTACAGCAAAAAAGTGTTGGAATGGTGTGTTCTGTTCCTGCCTCCGCCCATCTGTCTGCGTCAAGAAAATCTGGTGATTCCTGACCTCATACAAAGGCATGGAGTACCTGGCAAAGAAGCAAACTGTCTCATATATCCCCCAAAGAGTCCGCTTCTCATTTTACATCTTTGCTTCAGTTCTTTTGCAGTGATGCTGAAAAAAAATGCAAATAAAATGACAGAAAATGTAGTTTTTCACTTTCAGGAATGTGTAATGGAAATGCTGCTTTTAGCAAAGGTTCAAGTACAAAAATGAACTGTTCTTTCTGGCTTGTCTGTATCATTAAAATCTTAAGCACTGAATCAAACTGGTCACATGTTCATGGGTTAACTCATATAGTTCAAGCTATTATTGTTTTCTCAAACAATCAATATAAATTCACGCACCATGATATAATCAAAGTAGGTACAAATCTAGTTTTAGACTCAGAATGCATTCAAACCCTCTAAATAGCAGGTAATTGGCAAAAAATGTCCAAGGATGACCTAGCTGGGATCCTGTGTATATGTATGTATATATATATATATATATATACAAAAACAATTTTCAATTTTGTTGTAGTTTATTGCACTTTTTTGCAATTAATGTAGTTACTATGGACTTATTGCATACATGTTATTAAAATATGGGCTATAACAGTTGTATTGATGTATAGCAACTTGAAATGCTCCCAAAAATGGCACTACAGCATGTAAAAATATAAAGTAAGCTCTGGCGGACTTGGTTCTATGGCAGATCTTAAAGGTGCCACTGAAGAACGTGGTCACACACTGGACTTGGTTTTATCACATGGTCTATCTGTCCATAACGTACTTGTCGAGGATGCGGTGTTCTCTGACCATATGCCTATTTTATGCGATATTGTTCTTTTTAATCCTGTTCTTAAGCGTGCTGTACCTGCTCGATGTTATCGTGCTTTTGGCTCAGATACCGCGGGCGGTTTTCCATATTGTTTGACCAATTTATTTCTTATCCTCCCGAGTTGTCCACCTCAGATGGATTAGTAAATCTGTCCTCGACGCTGTTGCTCCTTTTATATTCAGACAATGCAAGCTAAAGGCTAGTCCTTGGCTAACTGATTTTACCAGAGCCACTAGAAAAGAATGTAGAAGATGTGAAAGACAGTGGAAAAAAGATAGGCTGTGTGTCACTATGGAAGCTCTTAAGACTAGCTGGAAAGTCTATCAGAGAGCAGTAAAGGCTGCCAAGCACTCCTATTTTTCTCAACTTATTGCTGCCAGCTCGCATAACCCTCATGTTCTATATAACTATATAAATTCTGTAATTAATCCGGAAGGCTATATTCTTTTGCACTCTTCTGTGGTTATGTGCAATAAGTTTC